GGGAAGAGGAGGGAAGGTGGGTGGAGGAAGGGAGGACTGCTGGGTGGTAACTGTTTAACATGATCAGAGAGCAACCATGTTCCCTTCCCCCCCTCCCTCCCTCCCTCCATCCATCCATCCATCCAGAGTGCCATGTTCTCCTTCTCACCTCAATATCTCAATCACAGTGACTGCGCTGTAATATGAAGCCACCTCCCAAATGTGCTTTTCAAAGGTACTTAGGCCAAAATGTAACAGCACCCTGTAAAGAAGCATCCTTGCTGCCTCTGAAATTGTTTCCTTGTGTCCTTCCCACTGTTCTATATGCACTTAACCTTCCTCATCTCCCCATTCAATCGTCTGCCTTTAAATTCCCCTTTACGTCCTATTCATCCGTATGTCCTTCAACTTCCTGTGTTTTTGACTGAGAGAATGAAGCAGCAGCAGCAGCAGCAGCAGAGTGCACCATGGGGCTTTTGAAAGTGTGTTTGTTTTGTGTGTTCATGGCAGTAACACTGATCTCACAGCAGGGCAAGGTTGATACAAGTGTCAGTGAGGAAGTCACCATAGGAACACAAGCCCCGCCCCCTTCTCTTTCATCATTGTAGACCACACAAAAGCATGTTGTCTGTGAACGTTTGTTTATTGTAGCGTAATGACAACATGAAAACATCCTGCTCCAGAAGGACTTCCATGTCAATTACAGTCCTAAGAGACGGAGCCACAGTTTGAACACAGCTTCTCTGCTCAGCAACTCTCTAAGACGACCCACAGCTTTGGGTCAAATCCCTCTCCAGCTCGTTGTTGTCTTGTGACCTTGGTTGGCCAAATGTGATTTTGTTATGATAGTTTGAAGTCTGAATTGAGCGCTCACATTTCATCCCACTTTTCCACCACTTAATGGGAGTCAGACAGGGGTCGCAGACTGGGTTGGATCCACAGTGAACAACAAACAGGCCGACTAAAGCAGACCACGTTGATGGAGTTAGAAAATATGAGATACCCTCGGAAGTCTGCGCTCCGGGGCTTGTGACAAACACACTGGTGCACACACACTCAACACACAAACAAACACTAATATTAGATTTAGTATCTCAAACATATAAATATACTTAGGTATTTAGATTCATATTCAGAATTACTCTGAATATTTAGAAAGTCCTGACTGCTCCCACAAAATGATGTATTATTATATTTTAAAAAATATATAATAGGAGTGATCCCTCTCCTATCGTTGTGTGCGTTCCGAGACCCACTGCGAGATGGGAGAAATTTGTGAAGTAGAAACTAAACAGTTAAAATACAATTACCGTATATATATTTACGCTCTACGAACCTCCCCCACACTGTTATCAACCCTTCCTAGACTGTATTACTCCTTCCACACAATTATATGCACAGTACAGTTGTAGAATGGAAATATAAGAGGTACATATTACGTAAATAACTTAAATGCACAATCATAAAACACAAAATGTAAAATAGATTCTAATTCTAAATTAAAATTCAATGTACATGCACACTGTGGGGCCGCAGCGGAGGTTAGCGTTCAGCAAATGTATTTTAGTTTATGTTTTGACCGCAGAATAGCGCTACTGTATACTTCTAAAAGACCTTCCCTTAGCTGATTCAGATCTTAAAATCCTCTAGGCTGTCTCAGGTGAGTCCTATCTCACTATCAGCCTGTACTGATAACAGATAATGGAGAGAGATCTGAGGGGAAGGAGGAAACCAAGGAGATCCCAGAGAGGATTTATGGATGTCATGTGTTGGAAGATGTGAAGGCGGTTGGTGTTATGGTGGACGAGGCGGCTACAAAAGCAAAAGAAAATGTGTTCTACCTTCAGTGACCCTCATGGTCCAGATGATCTTGTGAAAATCAAATTATGTTTTTAATAAAAACATCAATGTAGTGACATTGATTTGGAATCTCTTTGAATACAGACCTCACTGCAGGGAGGGAGAGGGGGAGGGAGAGGGGAGGGGCCCTGTGTATAGAGATACAAGAGATCAGAAAAGAGGATCAATAACTGCTCATCCCTTATGGAAACAGAACAGAGTGGTGGATATTACTGCATCTTCAGTAGTAACTAAGCAGAGAGTCAAATGGAAGTCGGCAGGTGACGCAAGGTAGTTATCCTGGTAGTGGGTCAAAATGAATTTATCAAATAGCACAAAGCTTTGACTCAATGAGCAAGTGCTGATTCAAACGGGTACCTATATTTGTGTATTTTTCCATCCATCCACTACTCCATTCACAATTGCACTCTCACAGTACGATTACAGCTACAATATTCAACATTTGAAGGTCTTTGACGGCTGAACCCTGTTTGTTTGTTCTGTTGTGGTCGGGTACCACTGTCAGTCTGTAGCACGACTGTTGTCAGTAACATTAGCTCTGGACTGTACCAGGACTGTTGTAGCTAATGTTAGCACTGGTGCCTGTACCAGGACTGTTGTAGCTAATGTTAGCACTGGTGCCTGTACCAGGACTGGTGGAGCTAATGTTAGCCCTGGTGCCTGTACCAGGACTGTTGTAGATAACTTTAGCTCTGGTGTCTGTACCAGTAATGTTGTAGCTAACGTTAGCTCTGGTTTCTGTACCAGGACTGTTGGTGTCACTGCTCCAGCAACTTTTGCTTCAATGTAATACTGTAAGCTTGAAATGACTGTTGCTGCATCTTTTTCTACCATCACTACTCTTAACCAGCAGGAGGCCCCAGTGAGAACAGTGAGGAAATGCTACGAGACTTTACGCAAGCATCCTGCTGTCGTAGTGTCTGCACACTGTGCTTTTATTGCTGATGATTATAACAGTAGACTGAAGTCAACACTTGACTCTGTTGCTCCACTAGTAACCGAAACCTTTAAATACAAACTTAGAGCCCCATGGAGAAATGACAAAGTAAAGCATGTGAAAATATAATGAAGGAATGCATAAAGGGATTCCAACTGACATGACAACTGACTGTTCATTACACATTACTTAGAGAACAACTAAGAATCTACATAAACAGTGTCAGACAGGCCGGAGCATCTAATTTCAATGAACTTATTACAGATCACAAGAATAATCACAACTTCCTGTTCTCCACCATTGATCTTTTAACCCAGACTTTAGACAGTCCTCCAACAGTCTATTAACTCAACAGAATGCAGTGTGTGACACATCTGAACTGTTCTTTTTACCTGAGGAAACACTGGAGCATTCTGTCTTGGTTGATGCACGGATGCTTGGTAGTTTTCGCCTGAGCTAACTTAACAACCTGCCTTTTAGACCCGATTCCCACATCTCTTTCAAAAACCTTCTAATGGATTCTTTAAGGGTGAATTATTAAGTATTGTAAACTACTCTCTTCGGACAGCTGTCTTCTCTGCTGCCTTCAAAAAGGCTTTTTAAAAAGACTAACTTAGACCCTGACAATCTTAATATAACGACCAGCCCGAATTCAACTTTTCCTTTTTTTCAGCAAGATTTTAGAAAAAATAGTTTGTAAACAGAAACAATATTTTAGAAAAGTGCAAAGACAGCATTGTTAAGATTGATAAATAGACTCAAACACCTGGTGGGCCTCTCTGGTACTGGTATAACTCTGACCTTAATAACAACCATTTCTGGTAATTATGGCTACGTGTTCGTCAAGAACCTATAAAATAAATTGTGGGGTCCCCCATGGCTCAATTTTAGGCCCATTCTTTTTCATCTGTAGATGCTTCGACTTGGCGACTCACCAGGAGACTCGGTGTTAATTTACATAGATATGCTGATGATACACAGCTCTATATGGCCGTGTCTCCACAAGACACTGGAAAAAGGCTACTTGATAATCTCAAAAACTGTATCTTAATTATAGAATTATGGATGGCAGAGAATTTCCTGCAGCTCAACTGGGACCAGCAACAGAACTTGTGATTATTGGTCCAGAAGCCAAGAGAGAGAAACCTGTACCAAGATTACAAGACCTCTAACCCTCATGATTTCATTCCACATATCGGAAATATAACCAGAATAGGTTTCTACCACCTTAGAAACATTGCCAGAGTCTGTCTGTTTCTCTCTCAGTCAAATATGGAGGTGCTGATGTATGCTTTTATCTCCACACAACTGTAACACCCTGCTTTCTGGTCTTCCTAAAAACAGCATTTCAGTTCTACAACTACTTCAAAATTCAGCCGCACATGTGCCAACGAAGGCCAGGAGGTAGAAGGACATTCATTTGAAATCATTGCACTGGCTCCCAGTGCGTTTTAAAATGATTTTAAGATTCTTTCATTAGTGTCTTGAAGGTCTTGGACCCTCTTATTTATCTGACCTGATTTCACAATCCCCAGCCTCACGGACCCCGAGGTTCTCCATCATTATCTGTTCAATGCTGCACTTTGGTCTCGTTCCAGACTCTAGGTCACACGAGATGCATTTCCGTCCATGCTTAAAAATATCCAGAACTAGCAGTTTGAATGTCACCATGGGTAACAGTTGGTAACAGTAACTGTGGCTCACAAAGTCATGCTGTCTTGTCAGCAAGTGGCAAACTGTCCAGCCAGCAAAATCTGGAATGGAAATGCACCGACCTTCTCACTTGCCTCCAAAGCTTCTGTCTTCTTCCTGTTCACAGGTCCTTTATGTTTCTGGCCTGACCATTTTTCCAAGTCTGTCTACTGCGATATGCAGACAAAGGTCCGAGTCAGTGGGTGTAATGTTATATATTGTGTATATTTTTGTTAAAATATAGGGATGTACTGTGGAAAGATGCTTCTAAAGCACAAGTGTAGACCTGTCCGTGGTGCAGAAATTCACTCTTGCTATTTATCCATGCTGCTGAAACATCTGTTGATAATTGACCTTGCTCTAATAGTTTTTGTAAAAATAAATAAATATTCAATACCTTGTTACCAACTATGCTAGTCTGTCTGTATTGTTGACCCGTGACCTTTGGAAACCTGTGATACTTGAATCAACATGCTTTTTTTTGGACAGACAACAGTCAAGAATTACTTTGACTAATACTGTAGAGTCTTACCTTCAGAGATAAGAGGAAGTGGTGTCACATTTAGAGTACAATGGAGGCTCCGTGGAGATTAGAGTTCAACCTCAGCTGGATTTGTTGGATGTCAGCGTCTGGATTCAGTGAAAAATGAGTCCATAAAGTTGATAAAGTACTTAGCAAAACGTCAAAGAACTCAGTCGGACTGGGAGGATGGACGGGCTGATGTAAGGACCACAAAAGAGCAGACGTGCCCTTTCAGC